ATGGGTCGGTGGGTACTGGGTGATCCCTGGTGGGTACTGGGTGATCCCCGCGGCATCGCCACCCCCTCCCCATCCCCTGGGGTGCCTCGGGGGGGGGGGGGTCCCCCGGCCCGGGCACAGGCTCAGGAGCCACCGGCGCCGGGATGGGTGACACGATTGTACTCCTGGATCCGCGCCTTGAGGTGCGTCAGCTTCTTCTTCAGGTACTCACAGCGCCGCTGCTTCTCCAGCCAGGCTGGATCCTGCCGGGAATAGCCCTGCCAAGGCACCGGGGTCCTGTGATGCCCAGGGCTCACCCCCCCACGCTCCCCAGAACAAATCCTGAGCCCTCCCGCTGCTCACCCTCCTCTCCCTCACGAACTCACAGCAGTTGTGGGTCACGTCCCGGAGCCCCGCGGGGGGTTCAGCCCTAATGAGGCGGCTGGAGGTGACAAATCCGGAGGGCTCGGGGGCACCCAGAATTCCTCCGGCACCTCCAGCGCTTCCAAGACCTGCGGCAAAACCCTCCCCCAGGGCGCAGCCAAGAAATTCCAACGCTCATTAATTTTCCAGGAGCTGCCTTCGGGCGCTGCTGGTGCCACCGGAGCCTGGGGGTCCACGTGTCTCCTCCTGTTCCCCCCAACACCCTCTGCAGCCCCCCCCCCAGGCTCACCCCTAATCCCTGCAGAGAACGCCCAACTCATCCCACCCACAGGACGGTGCCCCGTGCCCACCCAGGGACCCACCGTCCTGCCCGGGGGGTGACATGTGGCACGGAGCTCCCGGTGCAGATCCACATATTCCGCCAGCTGGTCCTGGAAGACGCCCTTGTACCCCTCCCGCTGCCGGGGGCTCAGGATCGCCGGGTACCTCCTGCCCCCCCCCAAAACCACGGGGCTCAGGTGCTGCCCTCACCGCCGGGACCCTCGTGGTTGGGTCCCTGGGGGTCCGTGACCATCCCCGTCGCCAAAGGGCCACTTACACCACATAGTCGGGGACGGCGCGTGGTCGGGGTGACAGTCGGGGGGCGACAGACCTGTCCCCCCGCTTCTCCTGCTCCCTGGCAGGACGGGCCCTCCCCGGGGGTCCCCGGGGTGGCACCACCTCGTCTTCGAAGGTGACACACCTGGCACGGGCCGGCGGCGGCTTCGGGACACAAGGGAGGGCTGTGAGGTGGCAGGGCGGGGACCACCCGGGGCCGCCCCCGCTCCCGGTGACCGCGGGACCCCCGGGGACCTCCCGGGGGCTTCCAGGTCACCTCACCCCGCCACACGCGGGGGGACGGGAGGCTGCGGGCCGGGCAGAGCAGCGCCGGGAGGAAGAGGAGGGTGAGAGCAGAGACAGCAGCGAGGGGGGGGCCGTGACACAGCCCCCCAAGGGTGGCAGTCCCCCGCCACTGCCAACGACACGAGGGACGTGAGACCCGACTGGGCAGGGGGGCAGGAGGATGCTGCGGTCACCGAGAGGTGGTCGTCAGCCTCAGCCGCCCCCGGCCCCCCCCAGGGCAGGACTTAGTGGGGGCCCAACGCCCCCAGCCCAGCCCGGGGGCTCAGCCCCCCCCGCCCCCGCTCCGTACCGGGCGGTCCCGGTGTCCCGGCGGGGCGGGGGGGCTCGGCCAGCGGCTCCCGGCGGTTTTGGGGTGATGGGGGTGCCCCCGGTGCATCCGGCTTCGCTCCCGCAGCTCCGGGCTGGGTCCCGCTGGAGGAGAAGCCGCGGGATGAGGGGGAAGCCCCCGGTCCCGGTGTCCCCGGTCCCTCCTCCGTGTCTCAGCTTTCCCCGCGGTCCCCGTCGCTCCCATGGGGACACAACCGTGTCCGGATGTGTCACCTCTGGTGCATGAACCACCGTCCCAGTCCCCCCCTAGTCTGGACTGGGATGGAAAGCACCCACTGGTGCTCCCAGCACCCAGGAGCAGGGACCCCTCTGGACCCCCTCAGGGCAGGA